TTGTGCTTATTTCTCTAAAGAAGTATTCTTGAAAATTTAGAAATTGCTAGAGATATGTTCTTGAAAGTGTCAAAAGTCGTAGTTGGAATGTGCAATGTTTTGAAAAGTTTTGTTTTTTTTGCAAAGTGCCAAAATAAAATAAATTAATAAAAAAATTTTAAAAATAAACCAAAAAAACATGAAATGAAAAATAAATGAAACGAAACCTTGCAAGAACTTGCAAAAACTTGCAAAAACTTATACTTATTTCTCTAAAAAAGCATTCTTAAAAATTTAAAAATTGCTGGGGTGTGTTCTTGAAAGTGTCAGAAGTCATAGTTGGCATGTGCAATGTTTTGAAAAGTTTTGTTTTTCTTGCAAAGTGCTAAAATAAAATAAAATAATAAAAAAATTTTAAAAATAAACCAAAAAAACAAAAACAAAAAACATGAAATAAAAAAATAAATAAACAAAACCTTGCAAGAACTTGCAAAAACTTGCATCTATTTTTCTAAAGAAATATTTTTGAAAATTTAAAAATTGCTAGTATGTGTTCTTGAAAGTGTTAAAAGTTATAGTTAACATGTGCAATGTTTCGAAAGTTGTTTGTTTTTCTCACAAAGTGCCGAAATAAAATAAATTAATAAAAAAATTTTAAATAAACCAAAAAAACAAAAACAAAAAACATGAAAAAAAATAAATAAATAAAGCAAAACCTTGCAAAAACTTGCAAAACATGCAAAAGCTTGCAAAAACTTGTGCTTATTTCCCTAAAGAAGCATTCTTGAAAATTTAGAAGTGTTCTTAAAAGTGTTAGAAGTCATAGTCGACATGTGCAAGATTTCAAAAAGTTGGTTGTTTTTCTTGTAAAGTGCTGAAATAAAAATAAAATAAAAAAATTAAAAAAATTAAAAAAAAAAATAAATAAAAAAAACAAACAAAAACAAACAAAAACAAAAAAAACGAACAAAAACAAAATAAAAAACAAAAAAATAAAAAAAAAACAAAATAGAAGATTTAATTATAAACAAAAGATCTAATTTGATCTTGTAGTACAGAATTTGAACTTTATCGAACTATTTTGAACTATTTCAAAAAATTAGTCCAATGCGCGAACCAGGTTACAAATCTATTGATCTAGCTTGGTTTTTTAGTTCTAAAATATTTTAAAAGAGTTCAAATATTTATATAAAAAATTTAATATAAATTTACAATTTCTTATAGTTCATAAAAAAATTGTATAAACTTTCGCAAGTTTTTATAGTATATAAAAAAATTATAAACTTACGTAAAAGATTTAGAGTAAAACTATGTAAGTTTTATAGTGCATAAAAAAATCATAAATTTATGTAAAATTTTTATATAAATTTATAATTTTTTTTACATATTGTAAGACTTACATAGTATTATACTAAATTTTATGTAGGTTTATGATTTTCTTACATATCATAAAAACTTGCAAAAATTTATATATATATATTTTTGCTAATGTAGTGCTACTATTTTGAACAAGTTCTGAATAATATTCTTCTAATGGCAGTAGCAAGTGGCTTGAGATACAGGTTCATAGATAGTAGCAGTATCTGGCTCGAGATATGGATTAGAATAGGCAAATTTATTCTGAAGTTGGTTACTAGGTTAGAGAGAAAAACTAATATTAAAGTAAAGACTTAAAGAGATATACAAATATTGTATTTGTTATATGCATCTGGCACAGATTATAATAGTGCATCTCCTTTCTCTTGTTTATTTTTGTGCTATTACTTGATAGAGATAGTGGCAATTTCTTTGTAGAGATAGCATTTTTTGTTCAGCCTGTCTGGGTTTATCTCTTTGGTTTTTTTCTTTTTTTATATTTTTTTATTTCTTTTATTTTTATTTCTTAGAATTCTCTTTTCTTGTTTTTTTGTTTTTTTTGTATATGAACTCCTTTTTTTCTTAATATACATTCCTGTATTGGAAATATAGAAACATTATTTTCTTATGCTCTTGGTGAAGAAAGTAAAAATAAGGATATAGGCTCTTGGCAGGCTGACAAGGTCTAACTTATATATAGGTTGGTGTGACAAGTCACTCCTAGACATGCTAGATACAGCTAGGTGATGTCAGGCTTGCAATTGTTATACTCATGTTATATATTCTATCCAAGTTTGTTTAAATAAAGTATTGTATTTGAGCTCTGGCAAGACTGTCAAAAAGCAAAAAAAAAAAAAAAAATAAATAAATAATTTTTATTGAATTTGAATAGACAGATATTGAGAAATATTTATTAAAAAAGCTAAAAAAAAAATTTGACTGCAGCTTTTTTTTTATAGACATCTAAAATTTGAACAAAGATAACTCAGCACTTACCTGATCATAATCGATTAAAATTTTTTATTTTAATTTTATAATCTCATAGAATTAAAATAAAAAAATTTTAATTAAATAAGTGCCAAGTTATCTTCGTTCAAATTTTAGATGTTTGAAGCTGCGGCCAAATTTTTTTTAAACTTTTAATCGATATTTCTCAACACCTGTCTATTCAATTTCAGTAAAATTTTTTTTTTTAATTCTACATACTTGCAGAAGCAAAATAAAAAAATTTTTTTAAAAAAATGTTACAATAAAATTATTTATTTAAACTTTATCGATGGTTGCTCAACAACCATCTATCCAAATTCAAATTGTTTTGATTCTGCAAGTTTGCAAGAAAAATTACTGAAATTGAATAGAAAGATGTTGAGAAATATCGACTAAAAAAAATTTGGCTGCAGCTTTTTTTTGTATGGATATCTAAAATTTGAACGAAGATTACCTAATCATATTTGAACAATTTTTTTTTATTTTAATTCTATAATCTCATAGAATTAAAATAAAAAAATTGATCGAATTTGATTAGATAAGCGCCGAGTTATCTTCGTTCAAAGTTTAAATATCCGTAATAAAAAAGCTGCAGCCAAATTTTTTTTTTAGCTTTTAATCGATATTTCTCTGTCTATTCAAAATTTTCTAGCGAAGGTTTCTCGACAACTACTAAACTAAATTCAATGAACTTTTTTTTTATTTTAATTTTAAAATCTATATATGAGGAAATCGTCGCTAGAAGTTTAAAGAAATTGAATGTTTTGGCTCCGGAATTAGATCAGAAAGGATCTACAGTGATCTTCAGCCCGGGATTTTCTTGACATAAGAAGAGATAGTTGGTAGCTCTCTCACAAAAAATCTCCCATCTCTCATCAATTAGACCTTTAGGGTTAGGGTTATGTCATGTTAGGGGATTTATCGATTAATGTTTTGTGGGAGATCTACAGGCATTGTAGAAAGAGCCCAAACTCTCCTAAAAATCTAAATTGAATTCTTTTAAGATTCGAATTGATTTAAGGACAGGCTATATTTTAAATTATAAATGGGAGTTGGTTTGCATAATGATATTTTAAAAAACCTTTTTAGAAACTTGTTACGAGATTATCATTCGGTTCTTTCTACTGCAAAGGCCTCATATTTTATAGATGTTTAGAATTTTCTCTAACTTTGAGCAATTATTTGAATTATACAAATATGTAGAATTCAAATAAAAAGAGCTTTATCGAATTTGGTCAGGTAGTCGCCGAGATATCTTCGCTACTGGTTACAGGTACATTTAAGAAATGAGTGGAGACTGTTGCCGGTAGTGTGTTTTCCATACAGTTTTAGTTCGAGTACTCTTTGTAAAATACTACTTTTTCATACCCACTTATAATATAAGACTTGTAAAATTGGTGTCTGTATAAGTAGAAGTTACATTTACTCACGCTTCTTAATGAATTGCTTTGCCTCGCACTTGAGTATACTGTGTCAAAATTTCGTCATCTTGATTTGCGAATGTTACATTTTCCTTGATATTTTGTAATACTGTCGATATTGCCTGAACATCGATTGTGTCTATAGATAATTTGAGATTCGCATTTGATCACGCAAATTCTGAAAATTGTCCAATATTTACCTTTCGTTTTATCAAGAAATTTGTAATAACGGGTTCGAATATCTAAAAAAAAAAAATTAACACATTTGTTAGTCGTTTGTCTGCTTAATAAAGCAACGCTTACAGTCAATTGTATACTGGAAAACAGCCAACTGAAACATATGCTTTAAACACGTACTGTACTGTATGCTTAATGCCTAACGACAGTAGGTGCATCCTAGAAAACAGCCGGCATGTCTTGAATACATGTGCCTAAGAGACGCTCAGGAAGTTGTCTCCTAACATCTGGACATAGGAAGATATGCCCAAGGCCGTTTTTAGGTTAACCTCCTCCGAAAATTAAACAAGCCAATCACAACGCAGTATAAACTTCATTAATCATGTGATTAATGTTGACCAATGAGATTTGATCAAATATTCTTGGGACTATTTAAATTTCCCCCTCCCCGAGCCTAAATATTGACGTTAACCTAAAAATCAACTAAAAGCGATCTCACGGTATAGATACGCGTGACTATAAACTTGCGAAAATATTCAATGCGTAAAAAATTTTTGAACCAATCATATGCAAGATTTGGCGTGACTATTGAAATTAAAGTTATTTTACAATTGCTCTTTCAAGTAAATAATATTCCATGTAATTCATTTGCTTTGGCATAAATGACATTTGTTGGCCAATAGAATACCTTTATGTACATAATGCGAACACGTAACAAGATATGCAATTTTTGAATGTTTTGAGATAAAATTTATCTGGATTCGAATTTTATTACGTATAGTTAAAATATTTATGTAATGCATAAATGATTGTATATATCAATAAATTTTTCATAAAAATGAATGATAATTGAATAAAATGACTTTTTAAAAAATTCTAATTTTAAAAAATTAACGCAGATAAACGAACCAAAAAAAAAAAAAAAAAATATATATATATAAATATCATATCAAATTCGATTCATATAATAAATATATTACACCTATTTCACCTTTTTTTTTACACAATTTTTTTTTTTTTTTTTTTTAAAAAGAAAAAAATAAATATAAACAAACAATTCTTCACATTTCTCAAAATTCGTCATGGACGAATAATACATTCCACCAACTCACTAGCCAATCTAGCATAATTTTTCATCTTATCTCTGGTGACTGACTGAAACGATCCACAATCCATCAAATGATTAAACTTGACCTCTTCCAAATATGAAATATGATTTTCTTGTGGTCTTGCTAATTGCGGTATAGAAGCAACGGCGAGTAATATGGACTGCACGGAATCTAATATCGCGATTGTGTCACTATTTGTGACAATTTGAATCATTTTGGGTTGTAACACGTCAAAGCTATAATAAAATAAAAGTTAAGAATAAAAATAAAATAAAAAAATTCGATATTGAAAGCAGCAGCAAATATTATAATTTCTTAAAAAAGGATACAATAAAGAAAAAACTTCTGGCACCATAGTCGCGGATTCCGCCAGAAACCCATATAAAAACAATCGTTCTGGTTCATGTTCAGCACTCTGGAGCATGGTAACCATCAATGAAACTAAAAGTAATGCTGTTCTGTTATCAGGTATGTCAAGCTTCGTAAATATTGGGAAATAAGTAGTAGATAGTTCTGAATTATCAATGTCCATGTCGAATATTCCACATAACCATAGCAACTCTTTCATATCCCCGTTTTTTGCAGATAATGGTAATAAAGCCGCTAGATAACCTAGCATTGAAGAATGGATCAAATTTAAATCAGGGTCTATACCCTTTGAGGCAATGTCCAAAAATGTAGTTAGTACAGCTTGGGTATTTGATTTTGTCGTTGGATTTTTCAAACCCTTTAAAAGAGCTGCCGCGACGGCAAACGAAAAATGTTCATAATTAATCCCCGCTTCCATATCCATTTCTGCTGATACACTAGCTAACTTCGTTCGTGTTCTTAATAATCTAGTTGCTATATCTTCGTTGCCAAAAAAGTCATTCATATCATATGATCTCAATACTACTTGAAGAAAGTTCACAGCACTTGGAAATATTGGTATATGCCCTATTTGAATTAATGACATTGCTAACCAAAACATATATTCAAGGTATCGAGATTCAGTATCAAGGTTCTCAACAATTTTTGTCAGACACATGATTATGCTGATTATAAGTGAACAATCGTTTTCCGAAAATGAGGTCAATGCTTTCTTTAACGCGACCAATATCTGATACAATAAGTCATCATCAACCTCTTCACGTGCCAAACAACCCAACGCTACGAATGCACGCGGTTGAATTGCAGGATTGTTTTGAAAAGCTGTGCTTGCAACGAGTCCCATCCACCGTGCTCTCCATGCATTTGATATATCTATTGCAAAAAGTTTCCATAAGTGGTTTTAAAATTTCCAAGATTGCAAATTTTTGACGCCAAAAAAAAAAAAAAAACTTACCAATAGAAGGTGCACCACAAATAATAACTTCCAACAATGCTTGAATTACAGTTTCTAGAGAACTAAGAGGCATAGTATCTGGCATATCACGCGTAGACTCTGCCGAAATCAAAAAAGCATTACCAGGAGAATGGTTTAATCCGAAAAAGAATTTAAAGTTAGGTTCAGACAATTCAGTCAACAATAATGTTAATCGCCTATAATTATCAGGAGCCAAAGGTTGTGCCGTACACAACGATTGTACCAAATTGACTATAAGACCATGAACGGATGCTCTTATTAACGGTGGTCCAGTCGCGATAAGTATAGAAATAATATGGAACAATTCCGGTAAGTAGAGTTGAACATATACACGATTGCTGAATGATAACATTAAATTAAATCTAATTAAAACGGCAATTTCAGTCCACGCTGGATTATCTGTCAGATTTCTTGTATGATCTTGCGATGTTTTTGCAATAGTCTTAAATAAAGTTGAATTAAATTAATACATATAAATATATATAGTGACATTTAAAGACTATTACCGTATAAACGCGAAATAAAGCACCCCTGCGCGTTATTTTGAGACGCCCATGTGTTACACAAGGTACGCGTTATTTCGGAACGCGCATGGACAATATTTTAAACAAAAAACGATATTTTGCGTTTATACAGTATTATTATTAATGTATACAATTCTTACATTTCTTAGTCGTGCAATAATTTTTCCACGAACATTCACTGATGACAAAGTAACCATTGTGTTTGCAACTATCTCCGCCTGAGTTGTTCCTATACCAACTTTAACAGCATACTCTACAAATGTATCAATTATTAAATTTGTAATTTCGTCAACTCCTTTTAATGTGTGCCATATATTCGATTGAACTGCAGTATACATCTATATGAAATAAAAAAAATTATAAATTATAATCATTAAGTATAAATGGATAAATTTTAATATCTAACAAAAAGTTTCATACCTCTGTCTCTCGAACTGTTAAATCAATCAATTTGGTCAAGATCATTTTTGTATCAGCAACACTATTATGGGTTTCAGAACCATTTTTACCATAAAATGCTAAATTTGAAAGCCAAGGTGCCATATATTGAAGACATAAATGTTTTTGAGACGGATTTGATTTGCCAAAACCAACGAATACTTCGTTAAGAAATTCTAAAGTTAGATGTGTTTCCGATAATGCAAGTTTTTCACTTAAATGTTGAACAAATGTAGTGTTATTTGCCGGAATGCATAATCCTGGATACAATAATTTTTATAAATAATTAGAGATTATGTTGTAACATTATTACAATATTTAGAAGAATCTTTCAAAGTTTAAAAAATCCATTACCTTTAGCACTCAGCAGCTGGTTACCAACATCAAAATTGAAATTGAGGCTTAAAGCCACTAGCAGATCATAAGCTGCCAGTCTCAGATTAGGATCATCGCTTCCTATGTTCAATAGAGCCATGTTTAATAATGTTCCTGGGACACCGTTTGGTCTAAGTACACTTTCGGTCACAGTAGTTGGTTTAACTATTTGATATCTTGCCTATTTTTTCGAATAATTCAACAAAAGAAAATGTCAAATTTTGAAAAATAGAAACATAGAAAATAAACTTAATACAAACCTTTGAAGTTCTAATAGCTTGCATGATAAGATCTTTCCTTGGGCTAGTGAATGCAATCGCTGGTCTACCACGGTCTTGTTTAATAATAAACTCGCCTTCATTATTTTTACGTGGCGAATTACTGACATCTTCAATTTCCGAAATTTGATAAACATCATTAAGAGTCGAACTTAGCCCATTAAACAGTTCTTGCCTTCGTAGCTATGTTTATCAAAACAAAAAAAAGTTTTTTAATAATTAAATTAATTAAATTTAATAAAACGAACAATAAAATATTAAAATAAAATCTACCGTTAAAACTTGAACGTGTTCATTACTAATCTTCATAGTTACAGGAACTTGTGATCTATAATGTGATACTCTATTAACATTCGCATAGGTAACACTATGATCCGTGTCAAGTTGAGCTATAAAATGTATTAAATTCATTATATTACCATTTTAGATAAACAACATATTAATAAAAATTTCATATACTTGTCGAACTCGGAAGTCTCATTTCATTATGAGAAATATATTGAGAAAGTTCATTTAATGAACAACAAAAATGCACTTTCTTTACATGAAAAGGAGTTAATGGTTTTGGCAATCTTTTCGCAAACTTCTTGAATGCACTGTTGGGATTGTATAAATAAATAGCTGAAATATTTTCGCTGGCATCATATGGAAATACTTGTACGAATTGTTGAACCCATTGCGATTGGACTTCATTAGATGGACCGAACTTAGTTAAGTCTATTAAAATTTCGAATGGTCTGGTCATATGCGGCTCAATAGTCTAATTAAATTTGAATTTAAATCAATATATTTTCTATTGTATGCATTAAGATTTAACGTATAATATATAAGGATTGGTAACTTACTTGAAGCACATAATACATCAACAAATCAAGATCTGTAGCTTCAGCATTAAGTCGTCTAGCAATGTAATAAAAGACAGGGCGTCGTTGCTATATCATATCATAATAATATTGTTCAACCATAGACGTTACATCATCAGATAGGGAAAAATAACTATTAAAAATATATATATAATATATAAATAATAACTTACCAACGACATCCCACCTTCATAAAATATATTCTTGTTAGAAATCACTTCAGTGCCTCTATGCAAATTCCTTTTCATAAAGTCGAGAAAGAATTGATTATTTGGTGCAAACGATTGTACATTAACGTTAAAGAACTCTTTCTTTTGAGTTTCCATTGGAGGTTCTAATTGTGCTAGTAATGTTGCTATTTTATCCAACGTTGCTTTATTGTCCAACGTTGCTTTATTAGCTTGAGCAGTTGCCTGAGCTGATTCATCATTAGGCTGTCCAAAAGATTTAGATCGGCGGTTCTGAAGTTCTTTATACATCCTTTCAAGATTGTCGTGTAAAAATTTGTGTAAAATTTTCCGGTCAGCATCGTCTAACCTTCTAGGTGGTGTATCAATGGTGTTAAATTCAGAAGTTGGTGTTGATATTGGCAATTGCTACAATACAATATTATATATTTTCAAATTATAAATATTTAGCATCATTTGAATTATGTACAGTTAGGAAAATTATAAAAATTTTTTCAAATTGTTTTTAAACATACAGAAATTCTTTCCAAATAAGCATTCATTCTCTCAATTTTATTAGCAATAAAATCATTTAAATCATTCATATGCGATTCTTTTCTAACACCATTATTGGCGATTGTCTGAATAACCCTTGTAACAGACAATAATGTACGGCGAGTCTTTTGACTTTCTATAGATTTACAAATATTTTCATTATCTGGAGATGCGATCGCAGGGTTAAAAAATCTTAAGAATATAAATGCTCCAACTGCTGTGTGTTTTTTTTGTGGATATTTCATTTCAACTATTTTAGCAATATTATAACACACATGTCGAAATGAACTAAATCATGATAAATATATAGAAAAATGTGTAGAAAAAATATTAGAACAATTAATTTTATAATGCATATGAATTAATAAACATACTTGGGCATCATAGTAGAAGAATAAATAGCATCCAAGAATGTTTCAATAGTAGCCTTTAAATTCATTTTATTTTTTTCGAATTCAGTAGTTGTATATCTTCCAGGATTAAGTTCACAATCAAAATCATCAGATTTGGATAATAAATCATTTATAGGTGGCTGAAGCGTTGCTCGTAAATATTCTCCACCATGTACTTTAGCGAATGCGCATAATAATTTCAGTGCAAAACTGTTACCTCGAAATATTTCTTCTTCATGAGCTGTATTAGGTCAATAAAATTCTTAATTAATAAATATCCATTTGCAAACTGTAATTATATAAATTATATATATTATATATAAAGATAATTACGATTATTTTTCACTTCTAACTCAATTAAATAATTTAAAAATGGTAAAATTTTATTTTTTGAATCAAACACTGCAGTTAAAACACGTGCAAGTTCATCCGTATCTCCCTGAGGGCATGCTTCACAAAGCGATAGTGCTACTTCAAATGAATTTGTTACCATCTACGATAACAAAAATAATAAGTATCTTTAATTCACATGATAATTAATTAAAAATATTACTTAAAAATATTATTATAACTATCGCTTACCTCAACAAGCCGTTCATAACGATCCTTAACAGCATTTTCACCCAATCCTTCAAACTCTGCACCTTGATTTAAAATATTCGTCAATACTTGCACAAACGCAGTTCGCGTTTTAGTATCTTCATGATAAGCCATTGAAATGGAATATCTCAGACCGGAATCTACATTAGCACTCAAAAGTTTTGATAATGCTAATATCGTGTAATCTTTTAAAGGACCTAGGTCTTTTACATATTCTTTAGACTATTTAAAAATATATATATATTTTTTTTTAAAAAAAAAGAGTTAGCTAAATATTAATCTTGACACTAGTCTTAAAAATTTTTTCATATACCTTAGAAAGCAACATTTGTAAATCTTCATTGTTCTTTGCAGAATGTGTTCCACTATCAATAGCCTAAATTTAATAGCTTGATGTTAATTTCACTTTTCAGCATAATTAAAATTCTAAAAGATTTCTTTTTTTTTGATGACTTACTTCTAAAATCCTACAGCGATTCAACAGCTTTATAAAGAAATTAAAATATTTTTGAAATAACCTCGACCTAACTTGGCTCAAGTCCACATCATGAATTAAATCACTGGGTTGTAAGGGCAACTGATGTAACAATGAAACAATTGTTTTTAAACATGCTTGGTCTAAATCACGGTGCATACGTTCGTTTCTGTTAGCACCACCACTCATGCTTGATTCTGTACCATTTTGGGAATCAGGTTTCTTTTTTTTTAAAAAAAAAAGAATAAAATAAAATAAAAATGAAAATAAGTAAAAAAATAAAAATATTATAAAAAACACGTATAATTGAAAAATGATTACCACATTGTAATCAGAAGTCCATTCAATAATAATTTCCAACAACCTATTTCTTAATTTAATTTCCAGTCTTAAACTAACATATTCTTTTTTTTCCATTAATAATTCTACAAGTACACACATTCGTTTCTTAATCCTTAATGAAACTTGATTAGCACTCAATCTATTTAAATACTTTGCAAATGAAAGTACTAAATTGCCAACATCGCAAGCATATAAATTTTCAGATAAATCATATATTCTTTCTAATATTAATTTTAACACCAAAATTGCTTGTTCAACAAATAATGTACATAGATCATTTGGATTCACTTGTCCATCATTATCAAAAAAATGAGATACAATAGAGTCTAAATGTTGAAATAAAATAACATAAAGACGAGGACTTAATTCACTACCAAGAATGTCCTTAACATTTTCACGGACAAAGCTAGATTCGCTCACAAGAAGGCCAACCATTTCTTGAACATATTTTTCGACCATAGCATGATAATCATTGGGAGAAACTGATGTACGTCGGGAATATTCGCCAAAACGAGGGGGTGTGTTTCTTAAGCGCTCATGTACACAACATCCACCTAATGCTGAAAGGAATCCTGTATAGTTTAACCATTCAGTAAATTGAGCCTATAATAAATAGGAATTAAAATATATATATATATATATATATATAATTAAGTAATACTCATTGAAAAAAAATAAATAAATGAATAATTCATTTATTATATTTATGAAAAACTTTATTCATGGTATAAATAACAAAATTGTATAAAGTTTAAGGGAGATTGGCTAAAAATGATTAGTAATCTACCCTTAGTACCTGTTGCAATTGGTCTTGACTTTGATCAGAAAAAGCATTCACAATTAATTGAGTGAGCCTTTGCCACCTAGTCGAAGCTTCTTCCCAAGCACCAAGATTACCGGCATTAGGCTGAGTCATTGACCTTAACAATTTCCTAATTCGTCTTTGCTGAGCCATTCTACCAGGTACTGGATATGGTATAGTAGATAATTCTTTATAAACGTTCCAATTATCAACGATAGTCATTTGTGAAGGAGGAAACTCAGGTGGAGCTTCCATATCATTAGCAAGATTTTCAGAAGTAAGTTCAGCTTCCAAACATAATTGACCAAAACAATTTACAGCTGTTAAACAAATATCAGGATCAGGCGAACATAACATTATTAATAAGGCACTTTCTAGTCTTATGTTTGAAGTGTGACGAAGAGCAACATTATTTTCTTTTAATGGTTTGTCTTTACGAGCTTTCAAAAATTCATTACGACGAACTAATAGTTGCGATAAAAGATCCAACATATCTTTAGCAACAGTATCTCGTTCTTTTGATTTTAATATCAAGTTTGCAATTGAAAGAGTTATTTGAGAACTATATGAAAATTTAAAATAAATATATCAATAATTTCAGATTTTCCCTTTGCGTAACTCAAAAATATTAAGATATTTTTATATACCTTATTTGCCAAAATTGTTGCATTTTATTATCTTGAGATCCCCATAGGTCAATAAGCTCCACATTAAGAAATTCTAATAAAGTTTCAGCCGCGGCAGTTCGAATAGAAACATTTGACTCATTCAAGCAATTATTGATAGCAAGAATTATCAATTGATTATCCTTTGATTGGTCACGAGCTTCTTTACCCTATTAAAAAGAAAGTAATAATGTATTAAATAATGTATTAATGAATGAAAAAAAAAACTTGAAATTGCATTAATGTTACATTAATGTTATAGGAAAAAAAAATTTTTCAACAAACCACAATAGCAAGTTTAGGGTCAGTTCGATATAACCTCAAAAGGTTAAGAATAATCTCGGTTCTATTATGACGCCAAGCTGCTTTGTCCCCATTTGACATTATATCATGAAACAGTCTACGAAGAGGTGTTGCCAACATTGAGCGCATTGATGAAATTTGCAAATTCCATGGAAGCCTATTTTCCTTTTTTTGACATAAAAAAACAAGATTTTTAATAAACAATTGACATGTCATAAAAATTAAAATTAAAATTAAAATAAAAATTAATTAGAATTTTTTTATAGCTTTATATTAGTACCTCTGAAGCAATAGAATTACAACTCTTAACAAGAACCAACTTGAAAGCACTGGGAGCATTATCTTGTAAACATAGTGGGATTAAAGATTCTTGAGTTTTACGAGGATTTAGCCTAAATAAAGCAGTTAGACAATCGGTCATAAGTCTATGATCCACATTTTTCTCGTCTGGAAATGGTTTTGCAGGATTAAATAATCTTGACTATTTAATAAAAATGAATTAATTATAAATTATGAAATTAAACATTATAAACCATTTTAAAAAGTAAACGAACCTTCAATTCTTGTTCAATGTCTGGTACGATTAATCGAAGAGTTGATGAATCGTTATTATTGACATAGGTGGATGCTTTACAAATATCAACATAACATATTGCAGCTATATCGGGTAATTTTGGAGTTTTAATTTTGCCCTTTAATGCGTTTTTTAGTGTCTCCAAAAATTGAGCCTTTATAACAGTTGATAATAATAAATTTTTTAAACACATTTTGTTTCATTTGATCATAATTTAAAAATTTAACATACCTTTTTATTCAAATTAGATGTCTTATCATACATAGCAGCACTAAATAAAAGGTCTGGACATAAAATCAACAACATAGTTTGTAGTGGCCAGAACGCTTTATGGCTATTATGAGCTAAATTATTACAAATCTCAAAAAGTTTTTCAGGATTGCCACCCATTCGCTTTTGAGTTTGACATAAAGTAACAAATTCAGCAGGAAAAACTTCAATCCAATTCCAAATAGCTTTACGAAGAACAGTTGCCATTACAATTTGAGCCGGTTTTTTCAAATTGCTTATAGAATCACATAACTCTATATAAACAAATAATAATAATAATAACAATAATAATAATATTAATATTAATATTAATAATAATATTAATAATAATTAATAATCAAGTAATTCAAGTTATAAAATAAAAAAAATAAAGCATTTATATTAATACCTTGTAATACCATAGATAATCGTCTTGAATTAAGATCGGAAACCTCCAACAATTTCAATTCAGCAGTTTCAGTCCAATTATCACCAGCAGCAGCTAAACGAGCAATTGTATGTTTAATTCTCGAAAAAACCACATTCCAATTGGAAGCGCTTATATAAAAAATAACTCTTCCAGCATTTTTATAAATCTCACTAATAATTTCGAAAGCATCAGATCGACCAACACCACTAACACTTACAGCACCACCATTAGAGATGCTTTCATCTTGATTAGCCATTAAATGATGAAATTTAGATAAAACGTTTAAAATATAAGTTGCTAAAGCTTCTTCTAATTGAGGAGGATCATCCCAAGATTTTGGGGGTCTAAAATTTCTGGCATTGCCGTTAAGATTAGGGGTAGGAGGAGCAGATTGTTGATCATTATTTATAGATGGAATTTCATTACGTGCAGTTGGAGAAGTTGGAGAAATGTCGGTATCCAAAGAAGTTCTTGGTAATGATTCTAACTCTTTTTGTAGAGTTCCTCGATAAAACTTCCAATGGTGAGTAGTGCAGGCGGATAAAATTTTTAGAATAAATAATTGGGATTGTAAAACTTCTGAAGGGATTTCAGATATTATAGTCGTTGACTTTTTAAAGGTAATAAAATAAATGCTAGTTTATTAATTTATTAAAATTTAAATAAATAAATTAATAGATTTTATGAAGTAAATACCTGTGAAACAGTTTCCAAAAGTTGAGTAAGATTATTGGCTATTGTACCAAGTTTAAATCGTGATAATTCTACGATGGCATTAACAGTCTGTAGAATAAGTGGATCTTGTTCCAAAATTTCTAATTTTTTGCCGCTATTACACGGTAACTTTATGATTCAATGGATAAATCAGTATAATGGTAAAAAAAAACCCCCCAGATTTTAGTATTTTATATAAATCCAATGCTAACCTTGCGACTAATTCTATTGATCAAAGAAAGTATTAGTCTAATATCACCGTTCATATCGATCAAATCTTTATTATATAAATTATATAAATAATTTTTTTATATCAAATTAAATTTTTATTATTATCATCTAAAAAGAATGAGATTTATTTTTTTTTTCTTTTTATCATAAAAAAAAAAGGAATGAAATAAGCGTTAGAAAGCAAGGTAATAAAAGTCTTGCAGCAGCAAAACAAAAAAAAAGAAAGTATGTAATATGTGAATCGGGAATGATGATAGTTTTTTTGTTTGATTGCATAAGATGAAGTAAATTTACAGTTAAAAAAAAAAATTGCCCTAACGGAAAAATAGTAACAAAGAGAGTGATTACTATTATCGTAATTAACGGAACATTGATGTAGAAATAACGATAAACGTTTCTTTCCGTTCAGAAATAAACAAAATAATTCAATTTAAACAAGATTGAGGAGTTGCTGTCGTGTCACTATTAAAGTACATTTGTGATCTTAGTAATAAATGGCAATCACTAGTAAATAAAAATAAAAAATGCGAATTCTACTGGTTAATTATAACGCAAACTTCACCAAGATCTCCGATTGGTGCAACACTGGCTCTCTTGTATAAATCTTCTATAATACTGTAATACATAAATCTTTATAATACGTATCGACATATTTTCTTTGATAATGGCAAATTTTAATTGCAAAAGTTGTGTCTTTTGGCCAAATTTGATTGATAAAATCGAACACACCTATTTTATTCTATTTTATTCTATTTTATTATAATTTTGGATTACATTAATGAGATTTTGCCCTATACGGAACATTATTACTTGACTAATTCGTGTATCCATACAATATCAAACGAACTAACTGCAGTACTATTGTTCGCCACCCTTGGTGTAGCCAATATCAGTATTAAAAAATATTTTGTACTCTGAGTACCAAATACTTACAAATCCTACACGTTGGTCACAATGCATACACAATAACAATTTTACCCAAAATGGTACACTCCCCTGACATAAGTCACCGGATTTTTTTGGTAACGTATGACGATCATTTTTTTTTGCAGGTTTTTGATTTGCAAATTCTCAACAAACTACATATTAATTCGGGTCAAAATTTTTTTAT